TTTAAGTATGAGCCTTTCACACATTCATTTCCTCTATAAAGCCTCACAAACCAATCAAGATTGAAAACAATTCTCGTGGTAGACGGGACTCAATGGGCATAATGATGGTGCTTTTGGGATGTGAACGTCAAGTCTTTTGAGATTCCATTGAGTCAGTGCCCGAATTAAAGTTTTCTTAAAAAACGCACAACAGTTGATTTAGGCTTTTTTTCAAAGGCTAGTATAGAGGCATGACCACTATTCGTTAAGCAAGTCCAAAGAAGGTTAGGTGTAAGGTTTGAACCTTTCAGCTTTGCCTTCTTTGAACCTGTATATAGTAAGACACTTGCGACTTAATTTGAGCTAGTGATGAAGCTTCTTGAAATTTGACCCCATTTAAAAAAATTTAACGTCCTTTAAAAAAATTTGTTAACAGTATTTCTAAAAGAACTTCATGTTACTTGTTTTTAGTGAAACATTTTATGCTCTTCATTTCCGTCGCTATCGAAAAGGAAGCAATTACCAACAGTGCACAGACCACTATAAAGTGTAGCTCAGTTTGCTGTTTTTCAAAGCCCTAAAGCTTATCTCCACAAATTTTTGTTCTGCCAATTGGTGAATGCAAAATTTCCTGCAATATACCATGTTTGATTTCAAAAAAAAAATCCCATTTTAGCAATAAGCTCTAATACAACCTAAGACATGCAAAACTTCTAGAGAGACACTGCTTTCTGATGAAAAAGCAATTTTGCTGTGAACTTAGCAAATCAGTCATTCAATAAACAGTAAAGAGATGAAGAGTCACATGTCGCTCACCTTTAAGAAGCTTTCTCTACATTTTAGTACTACTGAATTCCTTTAAATTCTAACAGCATTCAATCATCAAATACATCTAGGATATGATCTACTGTTGCCCCTAGTGATTACCTAAAGACATATACACTACTGCAATAAAACCAGCAATATAACCTTCTTTAGCAAAAGTATTTGAATACTTCTGTCTTCCTCATATCAACTACCAATAGAATAACTTAGAAATAAAGATTAATGCTTTAAATCTAGCTCCGCTATCTGACTCTTCATGAACTCTTCACTACGCTATCCTTATGTACGACGCAGCACAGCCCAAATTGATGGTGAAGCCCTGCAGGTTAATTCTTTCTACAAATCGATATATCCATTTCTGGCAATTCGTTTTATTAAGCATCTTCTGCTTAACGAACGTATATGGCGCAATGCTTTCGACAAACCAACATCGAAGCTGGATGTGGATGGTAAGAAGACGAAATGGTCGAGATTTGTAGGGTATTTACAGGTAAGCAATCTATTACCAATTAGCTACAACACATATAATAGAAAGAAACACACAATTAGTGCTATAATTTGTAAAACCTAGTTTGCAGCAATATCCCAATTTTTCAACTTCTTACAGTTTGCCTACGAGAAATCACGTCTTCACTACCTCTTCCCTATCATTCTTCTATTCGCCTATTCATTACTTGGTGGTCTAATATTTTGGTCTATAGAGAGGTCCCATGAGGAGGTAATTCTAACAGATAAGGTAAGCTTTTGAAACAGTCAAATATAAAGCGTAGATGAACTTAATTGGCAATCTATTCTACAATCAATTTCCGTTTCATGCATAATTTCCCTATATTATCCATGTCCTATGTTTCAAATATAATTACTACATTTATTTTAGAGTAATTTCATTGACGCGCTTAAGGAAGAGCTATTGAATGTGATAATGCGTGTGCATGAACGACTCTCCGAATACAATAGAGCTTACGCGTGGGTGGCACGAAAAAAAAACTTTCTTGATTAAGGACAATTTGGAGACTACTAGTTTTATTGTTTTAGGAATGACTCCTATGTCCGAAGGCTACATTATCGGGCTTATAGAAAATTTGCTTTGAATGAAATACACAAGGTTAGTAATCAAATTGGAAATACTTATATCACTCCAAATCAAGGAAAAAACTTTCATGTGCATTTGATCTACA